GCAAGGGCCCAAGGGGCCATGAACTAGGCAAGCAAGACGCGGCGGATGACAGGAAAATAGTGAAGCCGGGAGGTGGACAACCCTGGTGGCCGCGAGACATTAGAGAATAAGGGCCCCAACATGGGGGTCACTTATGGCAACCAACGGGAACCGCGGATTGGAGGCCCCGCAGACGGAAAGACTGGCATGCGCGGGGCACGAGAAAAGACAAGGAAAGAAGGCCACCATAGGGCGGTAGACGCCAAAAGCACCCGGGACACCACGAGGAAAGGCAGCGTGGTGAAGGGAAGCCGCTCTCAAAATCGATGAAGACCACAACCACATTTCGTTTATCCTGCCTGGTTAGCTTGAGGAGTTCATTGACCAATAAAATATTATCCTGAATCCTTCGACCTTCGACAAAACCTATTTGTGTCGGGTGGATAATCTGGTCTAGGACCGGGATCAACCGGTTGGCCAGGCTTTTGACAACATCTTATAAACGACGGTAAGCAGTGTTATAGGGTGGTAGTTTCTGATATCCATCATATCACATTTTTTGTGCAGCAAAGTGAGGACGCCTTGCCCCACCAGCTCCTCCATACTCCCTGTCTCCCAGAGTAGACGATAAAACTCCATGAGGTCCGGGGCCATTTGGGCCCAGAAGGTTTCCCATAACGCTTTGGGGAGTCCGTCCACACTCGGGTTTTTTTCCTCTTCCATCTGCATCATTGCTGACCGGATGTCCTCTTTGGACAGGGGTCGGTCCAGATCCATCTTTTGCTGGCCCATCAGGGATTTTGTCATTGGATCTAAAAATTCTGCGATTTCCTTCTCCCTGACGTTTTTCTGTTGTTGGCCACACCTCGAGGTAAACAAGTTTTTGAAAAAGGATCTTGCTATCTGCGTGCATTGAGAGGTAGAAGTGGCCACGTCTTTGTGCCCCGACTGTGGGTCATAAAACGCTTCTATCCTTGTCCTGCGCATACGTGCGTGTGCCATACTGATTTTTTTTTTATCCATAGAACCGTCCTTTTGATGTCGAGTCATGCGTCCTCTAATACATATGCCCTCCCAGCATTGAGAAGCAAAGACGTTGTTGCACGACCCTCATGTCTGAGTGCTCTTCCAGTTGCGTGTGTTGGTGACTGTCTGCGTCGTTTTCTAGATTATCTGACCCGTCCTGTTGCTCAAGTTGCTGCAGTTGTTGGTGAATATCCATTTTCTTGGCATTTCTTCCCCAAGTAAAAGAGACCGTTATTACAATCAGTCGTGGGATATATTGTTTCTATGTGTGCCAAAACGCCCAACAGTCCGCAATGTACCTTTTATTCACGGCGCAAGATGGAAACGTTGAGTTTGTAGAGACCGGGCCCGTGGTCGGGCTTCTTTCGAAATGATAGGGCCAATGTGCACATCTTATGGTCGAGACCCGGATATGGACTGGCCAGCAGTATTGCTGCCAACAACAATGCTCCGGCCAGATCTTCCGAGAGTAAGATCAAGTCAATTCGGGATCTCGATTGGCCTTCGGTCCCAGCCTTACGTAACCAGGAAAAGAACCTCGCATCCGGGTTGAGTCTCCGGAAGGAGTCGAAGATGTTTAATGAAAGACTTAAGTCTCTTATCATCCGCTCATCCTCCTCTACATACGTTGGGGAGGGGGAGGGGGTCTTCCATCTATCCATCCACCGGTTTGGGGTTGCGTTGAAGTCCCTTGCTATCATGATTGGGACCCCATCCGGAATCTGCGTTTTGATCTGTTCAAAGAAGGTTCTTCTCTCACTCACGGTGTTGGGGGCATAAACACACAGTATGCATACGTTCTCTAGCTCCAACGTGACCAGAATTGACTCCCATCTGCCTCCTTCCTGGTCCACCACCCAATGCACCGGGTCTGCACGGCATTCGAGGGGGATCCAAATTGCCACCCTCGCACTCCGGGGTCTCGGGGCATGGGCTCTGAAGGCGATGTATGGCCATATCATTTTGCGGATGCAATTGTGTTCCGGGGAGTCCAACAAATGGGTTTCCTGGATGCGCACAACATCCAGCCAGTCCCTGCCCCCCACCCCTCTCATCAAGTCCCATATTGCATTCTTCTTGTCCAATTTACACGAGGCCAGGCCATTTACATTCAGGGACCGTAAGTCAAGGTCTGTCGCCCGTCGGCATTGGTTTCAGATACGGTCCTTCCTGTATACCGCTTTGACCGGGTCCATTCGCATCAAGGCAGTTGGTTATTCAAAATCGGAACCACGACAGCTGTTCCAGGTCCCAAACCGCGGCACCCACCCGGAGGCCCAATTTGAGAAGAGCACATAGGCACTTCTGGACGTCCTGTTCTGTCCAGATCTCGCCGGACCTGTTTATCTACATCCATCTGAATTTGAACTCCGGGTTTGAGTGACGCCCCCAAAAATAGAATGGAGAAAGTCCTTTGCTTAAAAAAAAAAAAAAAAAAAGGAAGCAAAAGGGCGATTGCCTTGAGATATCATTATTGAACTGAATGGCCCCAGACAATTCACGAATTCCACAAATTTAGTTTATCTACGTCCATCTGAATTCGAACTCGGGTCTGTATTTCAACAGTTCATGGGTGTACCAGCTGAGTTAGGCCTGTTGGTAGAATGGAGAAAGGCCTTGCCCCCACTTTTCACCCCTAGGGTAACCTTCACAACCCTGAAAAGTGCAGTGGGGTTCATGTTTTTATGGTTTTTTTTGTTTTTTTTTTTTTGCCCTGTTTTGTTTTTGGCCAAGCTCTGTATGTGCCAAGTTTGGTGTTTGTTGGGTTCCTGGAGATGGTTGTTTTGGGCAGTGGTGAAAATCGTGAAAATCGACAAATTGAAATGTTGGTGAAATTTCATGAAAGTGCTCTTTTGGCTTGCTGTTTTATATGTTTTTAATTATTTTTTTTCGGTTTTCTTTTCACAACAAGTTAGTAAGAAGTGCACCCTACAGATTGGTGTGAAGTATGGTTAAAATGGCCCTTTGTTTTTCTTATAAATGGGGGTGAAAATTGGGGGGTCGGTTAACCTTCTGTCTCATTACTTCACCGACCGCTTTCAGGTGTTTTTTGTTTTATTGACAGTTTGAGATCTTTTTTGTTTCGTTTTTGTGCTGTTTTCTAGGCTCCCCAGGTCTCATTAAGGAGAGTTCCTTAACGACTCTATTGTGATCTTATTCTGCCAATAAGCGCTAGTGACTCGTCAGTAAGTTTGGGCGATGGAAAAGCTCCTTAGGGACTCATCTGTGAGTTTCGGCTATGGATTTCTCCTTACTGGCTGTTCTAGATCTGTAGTATACGCTCCAGCTGCGCAGAACTGTTCCCGCGCCCATCAGGAATAGTGAGGGATTCCTCTTCTGTGAGTTTCGGCTACGGAGGCCTCCTGCCGCGCAGAACTGCCTTCACTGGAGCCAGGAATAATGAGGTGAATCGAAGGAAACAAGATACATGTATGGATTTCTGGGCTCACTGCGAACTCGGAAGTGCGAACTCAGAAGTGCGAACTCGGAAGTGCGAACTCAGAACTGCGAACTCGGGAGTGCGAACTCAGAACTGCGAACTGGGAAGTGCAAACTCAGACCTGTGAACTCGGAGGTGCGAACTCAGAACTGCGAACTCGGAAATGCGAACTCAGAACTGCGAACTTGGAAGTGTGAACTCAGAAAGAGGGCTCAGTGCGAACTTGGAAGTGCGAACTCGGAAGTGTGAACCTCTGCGAGTACACGATACAAGTCATGATTGCATGTTTTTTTCTGCAGCAGCCCATCAAGCAGAATGGGATCCAGGAGGGCTCAGTGCAAACTCAGAAGGCATATCAGTGCGAACTCGGAAGTGTGAACCTCTGCGCGTACACGATACAAAGTCATAATTGCATAGTTTTTGTCTGCAGCAAAATGACCTGATCACAGTCCTGTGTGCAGTAATAATGCCAGTTTGTGCAGAACCAAAGAGAAAGATTGCTCCACAAAAAAAAAAAGAAAAAAAGAAAAAAGAAAAGAGGAGTTGGTCCTAATGCCGGGCTTGGACATGGAGTGCATATTAGAACAGCGACGACAATGATAAACTTGACGATGGGAATTCCTTTCTCAAGACGAGCAACCAGACAGAATGAGAGACAGACAAACAGACAGACAACCGGACGGATAGACAGACTGACTGATGGACTCACAAAGACACAGATAACAGACAGACAAGCAGACAGACAGGCAAACAGACAGGAAGACAGACAGAAACAGAACGACAAACAGACAGATAACAGTGGCATGAGAAAAGGGTCACAAGGCACGTGCTCATCATGTGCTCATCATGGCCGATGATGAGAGGAAGAGACACAGTTAGGGGGCTAAGGAGAGTTTGGGACAGGACGGCTCGCTTGGATGGTTGCAACTTGAAAGCCAACTAATGGTAAAGAGATTACATGATGATGCTGGTACCTGTGAGCGAATTTGGAGTCATTTTATTGGGAACATTCGTCATCAGGAACACCCTTCACACAGAGGCACAGGCAGAGAGAGAGAGAGAGAGCATGCAGGACAGGTCGCTAGGTATATGCGAATTACATCACTTGAGAGAGAGCATGCAGACCCTTCACAGAGGAAGAGAAAGACACACACACACACACACACACACACACACACACACACACACACACACACACACAGAGAGAGAGAGAGAGAGAGAGAGAGAGAGAGAGA